AAGCTAAGTCTGGGTTTATCCTAGATGTCCAATTCACTTTTGCTGTTTCCAAGTCGAGACACAAAGTTTCACACTGCAGTTAGGAGAGTAAATGTGGGGATGGAAGACTTCTCTCTATATAAATATTCTTAAATAAATACTAGCAAATCATTAAAAAAATAGGTTTTATGAGAAAAACTCAAGTATGCTCAATTTTCCCTTTGCTTGTTGGCAGCATGATACCCTCTGCTCCCCTGAGGAAGCTTTCTTCTTCAAAGTAATGAAGTCATTGAATTCATCTTATTCTGTTCTCTTTCTCACTCCCTTTTTTTTTTGCAATTAATTCAGAGCTAGTACAGGGTTCAATAGGTTAACCCCGCCACCTGTAAGTGCCAGGATCCCTTATGGGTACTGTTTATGCCCTGTTTCACTTTTGATTCTGCTCCCTGCTTGTGGCCTGGGAAATCAGCAGAGGATGGCCCAGATCATTAGGACCCTGCCTCCACGTCAAAGATCTGGAATAAGCTCCTGGCATCTGGCTTTGGATCAATTCAGCATGGTTACTGCAGCCATTTGGGGAGTGAACCAGTGGGTGGAAGATCTTTCTCTCTGTCTCTCCTTATCTCTGTAAATCTGTTTTTCCAATAAAAACAAATAAATCTTTAAAAAGTTAATTCAAACATGATGACACTGAAGCTTAGCAGGGTTAATAGGCCAAAGTGACAGCTTATTAAGAGGTGAGTTTGGAAAGCAAAATAATGTTTGTCTCATTCTAGAACTGATAATACTTAGCCATGTTGCCTGATTGCTTCGTTAAAAAGGCTTGGTTACTTAATCTGAGAAACATTTACAAATTTGCTTACATGCCAGCCTAGTGCTTGGCAGCAGGAACATAGAGACTTATAGGTGACCCTTTCTCTAATAGCTTAAGCTGCATTGTGTGTAGAAACTAGTCACTTGGCAGTGAGTGCACAGTGTGGAAAGTGCAGAGTGTTAGGGGGCAAGGAGCAGAGCTGCAGCGTCCATCAGCCAGTATGTGGTCTGGCTCTCGGTCCAAGCCAGGCTGGACTAGGCTGCCACATCTGCTGGCAAGTTCCAGGATTGGGTGCGAGTCATGTCAGACTGGACTGTAGTAGCTCCTGGCAGGTACAGGATCTGGTGCTGGGAACAGTCCTGGTAGGGGAACTGTGGGCACCTGCTGCTGGGCTGCAGCTCCTGCTGGTGAGCAAGAGAGCCAGAGCTGGGAGTGGGCTGGGCTGAACAAAGTGATGGCATACTGGCATACTTGTGAGCAAGTTATTCTGAGCTAAGTTATAACACCCATAGTGTGTACAAGAACACCGAAGTCAAAAATTTTGTCTTTTAATTCCATCTACCCACAATTTTTTCCCACAATTTTTTAAGGTATTCGCGTAAGTACTATATTAGTCTATTCATGTAACATTCAAAAATATGCAAAGTGTATGTTCAGTTACACATTCAAGTGATAAAAGTATATGGAGGAGTAAAGAAATGATAAAAACAAAATTTAAGCAGGTGTTTGCTCTGAGGGGTGGGTGTAATAATATTGGAAAAGTATCCCCAGAGTGCAAGGAGTCAGCTAAGATCTGTTTCTTACTGAGTGATGGCTATGTTAAGATTGATCTCATTCTGGATACTACACATGTGTTGCATACATTATATTTACATATTTCTTAATAAAACATTTTTAATCTGTTCTTTTAATTTTTCTGTAACAATCAAGCATTAAACAAGAGGTTGTGAATAATAAATGAATGTCATTTTTAACATTCTCATTCTTTGATACCTTTCCTGGCCGTTGTCTTCGTATATCAGCCATCACAGCATATTTACTGAGGACTTGTTCTGAACCAAGTTTTCTTGGGGAGACAATGGTGAGATATGGTCAGGACTGGGCTAGGACAAAGTCAAGAGCCAGGGCCTCATGCTGAGTCTCACCCTGGAGTGACAAGGACCTAACTGCCTTAGCCATCACCTACTGCCCCTCAAGGCACCCATGAACAGGAAACTGGAACCAGGAGAGGAGCTAGGACTTGAACCTGGGACTTTGGATATGAGATGCAAGCATCCCAAATGACATCTTAACTTCTAAACCAAACTCCTACCTCATGGTGGTGGCAATAAGAGTGATTTCCTTTTTAGAAACTTTCAAACTAAGAATTTATGTTTTTTAAAAAAAGCTTCATTAAGATATAATTTACATATCTCATGGTTCAACCATAGGGGAAATCCCAGAGTCTATGAAATAGCACCATATAAGTAAAAATAAAATAGAAGAGAAAAAAGGTATATAACTCAATGGGACAGTTTTGCATATTCAAAGAGTTATACAGTCACCAACACAGTCTAAGTTTAGAGTATTTACCTCATTGTCAAAAGGGATCTTATACCCATAAGCAGTTACATTGTGTTCCTGTTCCATCTCTCAACCCTATGCAGCAGCTAGTTTAGGTTCCATCTCTACAGATTTGCATGTTCTGGATGTTTCATACAAATGGAATCACACAGTGTGTGCCCTTTTGTGTCTGGATTCTTTGCTATAGCATACAATATTTCAATATCCATCTATGCCATAGTATGTGTAAATATTTCATTCCTTTTTATTATCAAATAGTATTTTATCATACAGACATACCATATTTTTCTTTTTCAAGATTTTATTTTTCTTTTTTATTTGAAAGGCAGAGTTATAGAAGGAGACAGAGGAAGACAGAGAAAGAGAGATGTTTCATCTGCTGGTTCACTTCCCAAACGGCCTCAATGGCCAGAACTAGCTAATCTGAAGCTAGGAGTCAGGAGTTTCCTCTGGGTCTTCTACATGGATGCAGGATCCCAAGGACTTGGGCCATCCTTTGCTGCTTTCCCAGGCCAGAAGTAGGGAGGTGGATTGGAAGTGGAATAGCTGGGACTCTACCAGAGCTGATATGGTACGCCAGCACCCACAGTCAGAGGCTTAGTCTACTATGCCATATCACATGTCCCCTTACCATATTTTATTAATCTGTTCATCAACTGATAGACATTTATTTTTTCCACTTTCTGGCTATTTAGATAATGCCGCTAAAAACACCATTGAAAACTTTTTTTTTCTGTGTGTTTGGATTTTCAATTCTCTTGGTATATACTTGGGAGTAGGATTGCTACGTCATATGATAACTCTGTCTAGCATTTTGAGGAAGTGCCAAACGTTTTCCTCACTGATGTACCATTTGAAATATCAGCAACATATGAAGGTTCCAATTCCTTTACATCCTTTCCAACACTTGTTATTATTGGTCTTTTATTATTATTATTATTATTATTATTATTATTACTGTCACCACAGTATATGTGAAGTAGCATTTCTCCATACCTCAACCCTCCCCACCATTATATATACACTCTTCTCAACTATGTAAACATCATTAAAAATAAAACAAGTTTATAAATAAGGAAAAATTTTAGATAGCCTACTATTTCTAGAAAACTCTCTGCATTTGTTTCTGGAAAACCTTGCAGGAAAAGTTTATGTATCTGTCATATTCTAGGATCAATTTGCTAAGAAGTTGTAGGTGCCTTGTTTCTTCTTGTCTTCTTTTTTTATCTTGACTACACCTCATTTGACTTATTGCTTTGAAAAACAGCAGTAGTATCATCCTTCATCTATATTCTTCCATTTTGAGAGTCCTGGATGCTAAGATTAAGGAATGGAGAGGCTGGTATTGTGGCACACTGGCTTAGATTATGCTGCCCCCTGTGAAGCCAGCGTTCCAAGCAGGCACAGCTACTTCACTTCTGCTTCTCCTTGTCCTACTTCCAATCCAGCTCCCAGCCAATGCGCCTGGGAAAAGCAATGGAAGTTGGCCTGAGTCCTCGGGCCCATGCCACCCTCGTGAGAGAACTGACCGGAGGCTGCTGGCTTTTGCCTGGCTGTTGCCATCTTTGGGGGAATGAACCCACAGTTGGAAGTTCATTCTCCTGTCACCCTCACCCTGTATCTCTCTATCTTTTGAATCAATCAACCAATGGATCAATTGATTAATATTTTTTAAAAGGTAAGAGAAAGCAAGATGCCAAATTACTATAGTATCACAGTAGGATGTGAGCAGTGGTCAAAGGAACTCTTAGGTATGAAAGAGGGGGATTTTTAAAGGATTTTAAAGGACAAAGTAAAGAGTTAGCCAGGCTAAGAGAAGCAGGCCAGCCCAGCCGAACTTGGACAGGAAAAGCAGACACAGTCTCAGTGACCCAGCGCAGTCCTAACTAGCTCAACACAAGGCCAGGGAGGCTGCATCGTGTTTTGACAGGATCACTCTGGCAGCTGGATGGGGTGTTAGATTGACCCGGAGGGCAGGACGCAGCCAGCGGGCAGAAAGCCCTGGATTTGGCTTCAATGCTCTGTCAAGCTGCACTCCTTTTTTTTTTTTTTTTTCTTTCGTCCGGGCTTGCAGCCCTTTCCCTTTGACCGCAAAAGACACACCTTTATCAACTTATTGCCTGAGAGTTGATTGTGGGGTGATTGTGGTGTGATTCCGGGCTCCTTTTGAGGCCTGGGGACAATGGAAGACATTGAGGCGCATTGCTGCACAAGTTTAATCAAGTAGGGGTTGGAAAGAAGCCTTTCTCCCACCCGCCCCCCCCCCCCCGTCCCAATTAAATCTGCACACACACACACACACACACACACACACACACACACACACACACACACACACACACACACACACACACACACACACGGAGGCTGAGACTCATCCTGACAGAAGAGAGCCCCAGGACACGAGGATCCCCCGACCTCCTGCCAAGGGCGTGTCTAGGCGGGCCGGCCCGCCCAGGTTTCCCACTCCTTCCTGGATCACGCCCCTGTCCCGCCCACGGAGGGAGGGGGCCTGCGGCCACCCCGCGCCCTGCCGACCGGCCCGGGCGCCCGGCGGCGCCGGTGGGCGTGGCCTCCCCGCCCGCCGCCTCAGTGACGGCGCGGGCCACGCCCCTCGGGCGTGAGGAGAGCTGGGCCCGAGCCGGCCTGGGATCCCGCCGAGCCGAGCGCAGCGAGCGGAGCGCCTGGGCGGCGGCGGCGGGCGGCGCGATGGCTCCGGCGGTGGACCGCGAGGGCTACTGGGGCTCCACGACCTCTACGCTGGACTGGTGCGAGGAGAATTACGCCGTGACCTGGTACATCGCCGAGTTCTGTGAGTGTGGCCCGAGGCGGGGAGGGAGGACGCCGGTCTGAGGGGAGCCGCCGTGTGAAGGAGGCAAAGGGCGAACCTGGCCGAGGGGAGGCAGGCCTGGCCGGCGGGCGGTGGTGCGGAGCCCTAGGCTGGGGGAAGCCGGGGGAAGCCGAGGTGGAGTTCCGTGTGTGCGGTCGGGTGAGGTGGGGAGGAGGGCGAAGAGAAGTGGGGAGCCCTCAGCTGGACCTCAGAGGAGAAAAAGCCTGAGGAGCAGGACTGGGAATTCTCCGGGGCAGTTGTGGGGACAGGCTGGCGGACGCAGCCCAAGATGAGGTTGAGAGAGGCGAGGACTCAGCTCATTGGATGAGGGCCCAGGACACCTGCTCCGCTGTTGCTACCACCACCTTAGCTCGAAGGGCACGGACAAGGAGACAGTTCCTAGTTTCTGCAACCAAATATGAAACAATTCTTACGTCTTTCCCTTCCTCTTTTTTTCTGTTCTTATCAGACCTCTTCATTCATCTCCAGGGGACAGTTTTAACAGTCAGACCCCCTCCCCCTCCACCGCGCACACACGCACAGGCACACACTCCCACCCAGGACATCTTCGGTTCCAGCCATCATCTGCCCCCTGAGTATGGGATTCCTCCACTGTCGTGGGGCACTAGAAGTCGCAGACAGAGCACCTCATCTAGGTGCTGCTGAGCTAGGCTTCCCTGAGTGCAGGGGACCTAGTCCCTGCTCTGCGCTGCCTCCTGTTGGACTTCCTGGGGTTAAGGGCTCCTCTGAGGACAGGACTTTAACTGTCTGCACCTACTGAGAATTTGAGGAATCCTCTCACTGGTGCCCTGATAGGCACCGCTGGCTGAATTGCTGGTGGTGATGGCGGTTGTTTTCCTCGATGATTATTCCTACCAGGCTAGGAGAAATCGGCCACTTCTTTTCAACTTTTGAGCGCACGATGTTTGATCTTTCTTTCAGGTACCTGCTTCAGGCAAAGTACAAAGAATATTCTTCAGCTAACCATTACTGCTTTCTTTACATTGGGTCCAAGTATCTTAGGGACATGAAGCAAAATTGCTTCTTAACTAACTTTCCCATTGTTGAGTCCTTCTGCCGGACATGTGTGTTTGGCTTTGTAGCAAAGAGGAGGATTTTGTGCCAGATGCCTCTGCTTTATTCTGTTCCAGTAATTGGCTAAGTTAAAAAAAAAAGGAAGAAAAATAGAGCTCTTTCCCATTTTCAGAACTTTAGTTTTTCATTCCTTGAAGATCGTGGTTTATGCTGAGAGCCACTTCCATCGTTTAAATGAGTAACTTTTTTTTTCTTAAATTTTTTTTATTATATTTTGACAATCGTTACATAGTTAATTAGGGTAAAAAGGTTCAAGGGCTACAAGAAAGTGGGTAAGATTATTATTTTTTCCAAATTGTTTCCTTCATGTTTAAAGGGGTGTATTAAGGGAGAAGGCCCACTCAATTTCCCACCCTCCCCAGGTCCCAGATGTAGGGCATGCTCTGAGGTTCTTGTTCAAGTGGTTTTGATATTTCAGTAGTTATGAATCACTGCCCGTCTTGCCACTCCAAGCACAATGAGGTCTTTGAAGAATCCACTGATTGACATAGTCCATCACAGAGTCTCTGTTTGCCCCGTATTTCGCTGCCAAGATATAGCTGAGATGGTTGGTTGACCTGTTCTGTCTTCTGTCTTTTCTTGGTTAGGGTTCTGAGTCCGGCATTTCTATTGGGGATATCTCCAAAGAGACTTTGTCTGAGGTGTTCTCAAACCAGATTCTTGTATGTGCTAGCCAGTACAGGGCCCGGCACAGTCCATCGCCCCAATCAGCTGGTGGTTGCAATTGCTGGGTTGGTTCTGTTTTCACTCCCAACTTCCACTGGAACCAATGGGTGTTGCAGTCCAGCTTGGTTCTAAATGAGTAACTTTTACATAATAATGGAGCTGTATGAGCAAAGGGGTCACTTGTAATTATCTGACAACCTAAATGCTGACAAAGGAAGCAGTTCACCAATTTATTGTTCAATCACTTTGCAAGCTCATTCTTGGTTCAGAGAACTGTGACTATGAGGGGAAGGACTTGAAAACCATGCTTTGTGAACTGAATATGTGTAATATGGAAAAAAGAAATCAAGGCTTTTTAAATATTAAGCGAGCTTTCAATAAGAACAATTAACTTTATGCATTTCTCCAAAATATGGAATTAAGGAAGATGAGTCAAAAATAACTGTACAGGAGTTTTGTTTTGGCTAATAAAAATCTTTCTAACCAGATGTATAGTCAGAGCTGGTTGGTGGAGGGTAGAGGGCATTCTGTCACTGAAAGTGTTAAAACAGTCATTGCTGGACCAACTCTTGTGAATATTTTAGGAGGAATGAATTCTTTAGTAGCGAAAAGGAGCTGGCCTTAGGTGGCTTTAGATCCCTTGCAGTCTTATGGGTCCACAGATAGTAATTACTTAGTTTAGGACCAAGATTTTGGATTTGAATCAAAAGAGAAAACTGGTACTTAAGTCATGTGGACCATGAGAGCAAGATACTAATGTTCTGGCAGATAGCTCCGAGAAATGGGAAATGGCAAATGGCTTTCGTTCTCAAGGTCCTCAAAAGAGACTCTGAGCTGAAATGAAGTTTTGACTTGGGAATTAGAGGGGTTACAAGAAGAGGATGAGTGAGAACAGTTGACATCTTTTATGTGTTTGTCTTGAGTGAAAATTATCTGAAGGAAGTTGAGGTCAAGTCTTCTGACTGTACCAAGTGGTGGATGTCTGTCATATCTTGGAGTAAGAAAATTTATTTTTGGGACCAGTGAAATGGCTTAGCAAACTAATCCTCCACCTGCAGCATTGGCATCTAACATGGCTGTTGATTCATGTCCAGCTACTCCACTTTAATCTAACTCCCTGCATATAGCTTGGAAAGCAGTGGAAGATGACCCAGTTTCTTGGGACCCTACACCCATGTGGGAGACCTGGAGCAAGCCCTGGGATCCTGGTTTTGGATCGGCTCAGCTTCAACTGTTACCGCCATTTGGGGAGTGGACCTGCAGATGGAAGATCTCTCTCTCCTTCTCTCTGACCTTCTATCTGTAACTCTTCCTTTCAAATAAAAATAAATAATCCTGGGCTTGGCGCCATGGCCCAGCAGCTAAAAGTTCTCACCTTAAATGCGCCAGGATCCCATATGGGTGCTGGTTCTAATCCCGGCAGCCCTGCTTCCCATCCAACTCCCTGCTTGTGACCTGGAAAAGCAGTCGAGGACAACCCAAAGCCTTGGGACCCTGCACCCGTGTGGGAGACCCGGAAGAGCTCCTGGCTCCTGGCTTTGAATTGGTGCAGCTCTGGCCACTGCAGTCACTTGGGGAGTGAATCATCAGATGGAAGATCTTTTTCTCTGTCTCTCCTCCTCTCTCTATATATCTGCCTTTCCAATAAATATAAATAATTTAAAAAAAAAGAAACAGTCCTTTTTTTAAAAAAAACTATGCTGACTAGCAATATGCTTAAAATATTAAATGTGCAAAGCAAATGTCTCATGATATTTTTATCACTGGTAAGTAATATTATGAGTTTGAAGAATTGCATGTTTGGATATGGCATGTTTAGATTGGTTTTTAGTCATTATCAGTACCTGAAAAACTTTTTTCTACATTACTCTAAAGTAGCTTAAATCCTTTTTCTTTGAGCAGGTTATAAGTAGTAGGGGAAATGGTACAAGGTCTTTCTTTAGTTATGAATAATAAGCTTCTTAGTGTGTCTGAAATTGTAGATACAAAAAATTCTCATTTTATTTAATAGTGTAGAACTATACAAATGACCATGCCAGTTAAAACCAAGCAAAGCAAAATCAATAATCACTGGGAAACATTACCTTTGGTCTGTGACCTTTAAAAGTTTTTCTCCAGGGGCCAGCATTAAGGTGCAGTGGGTTGATTCAATGTCATAGAGCTAGTTCAAGTCTTGCCTACTCTTCTTTTGATCCAGCTCCCTTGCTATTACCCTTGGGAAGGCAGCAGTGATGGTTGGTACTTGGATCCTTGCCCTCATGTGGGCATAGGGATGGAGTTTCTGGCTTCTGGCTTTGGCCTACTCTAGCCCTAACTGTTACAGCCATTTGGACAGCAGGCGAAAGATCTCTATGTTTCTTTACCTTTTGATGAATAAATAAATCTGAAGGAAAGTTTTTTAGTTAAGCATTATAAACATTCTTACTGTTGTTTGCAAATATATAGGGAAGTAAAAAAAGTAAAATTTTATTTTGTCCACTGTGACTTGAACATCAATTTTAAACAAAGCCATGTGAGTTAAAGTGTTTTGCTTCTTTGTAAAATAACAAGAGAAGTTTCAACAGTGATTGCCTTCTCATCAACTTTTATGGAATCTTTTTTGTGCCCTGGTTTATCCTTTCTAAGTTTGTATCAGCTTTTAATAGTTTGTCATTTGCACTTTCATTATTGTGAAAAATCTCTGAGAGTTCCTATAATGCAACTTTTTTTTTTTTTGCAGTTTCACTCCTTGGACATTTATCTTTTTGACCACAACTTCTTTGTTCATTTGCCTTGATAAGCTTGCAGTTGCTAAGTTTCCCAAGCAGCATACTGTAGAGTCTCTTAAATTGTAACAGTGTCAGCAATTTCACAGTCATCCATTTCATCTATAACTCTGTTTATGTTTGATTAGAATTTCACTTTTGGCAATATTAACTTTTTGTTTCTCCGCTGTTCTTTTATCATTATTAGCCAGAATCCTCTTGTTTTTGTAAAATATTACAGAGGTTTGTTCTTGGAGATGAGTAGGCAACTTCAGGAGCTACATGCTTTGCCATCTGTACATGAAATGAAGTAACTGAGATGAATAGTTTGATGACCAACAACTTTGTAAAGAACTGACTTGGTTGGTGATCATGATGCTCCTCTATTTGTGAAACAATTTATGTACTAAAAAAATTAGCAGCAAAGTTTGTTCTGTACTCAGTTAACATCTGGTGATAATTGAACTTTGAACTTTA